CCCCGGGCTGGACTCTGCTTCGTCCACGGTGAAAGCCAATCCGGCCATCCACAGCGCGAAGTTGGAGTATTTCCTCAGCGACCAGCACAGATCAGCTCTAGGCATGGCGAAGCGTATATCGTCCTCTTTTGGAAGACCAAACAAAGTAGTTTCGCTTTCACAATGAAACACACTGCGCCTTCACAACATGGCGGCGGCAACAAGAATACTACAACAAGAGTAAAAGTTACACCTTCTTTCTTTGCGTGAACATTTGGGCGGCGTTATGCAAATCTTCCCACATAGTGATGTAGATATGTGGGGGCGTGTTAGAACGAGCTGTTTTAGGTAGGCGTGGTTGACTCTTAACTTTTATAAAGAATATCTCTTTGGATTTGAGAACTTTACAGATCTTCTTTATGCACCAAGAGCTTGTAACACTCCAAAGAGAAAGGAAAAATTGAAATTGCATCATATGACCGCTTTAAATGCTCAGATGTCTGAACAGTGTAACATGGCCGTGACATTACCCAATAATGCTACCTCATTTTGCACAACTTCTGTTTTAGGAAAGAGGAAATGTACTGTCTCAGATTAAGAAACAATTAACAGAGGTATACCGGAGAGACAGCCCTTCCTAAATACACATATTTAAACAGTTTAGAGTGTTTACCGAAACTGTGCGCCTAAACCAACCAAGATCCCACTGCAGCTGCTCTGTTAGCTTACCATTTGGATCTAGTTGCACAGTGGATCACATGGTTCCCATGGAAACATTGTCATGACACACACACACACACAGGTTTGTTTTTGTGAAAAGTGGGGACATCCCATAGGCGTAATGGTTTTTATACTGTACAGACCGTATATTCTATTGCCCTACACCAACCCTACCCCTAAACCTACCCCTCACAGGAAACTTTGTGCTATTTCAGATTTTCTATACACTCCATTCTGTGTGATTTATAAGCGTTTTGAAAAGTGGGGACATGGGGTAATGTCCTGAAAAGTCACCTTCTCCTTGTAATACCTATATTATATCCTTGTCATTATACAAATGTATGTCCTCATTTGTCACAAAAACGCGCACACACACACACACACACACACACAAAGAATACAGTAGACCACCAGTTGTGTTTAAGTTAGAATGGATGTAGCCAAAAACAGCACAGTATACCGTTATGATTGACATTATGTGACAAGGTTTGGCATGATCTCCCTGAGTTGATGGTGACAACTTTTAGAAGAATATAGACAAAATAGACTCAACAAACCACCACCCAACAAGTTGTGAGTCTATCATGAAAGAGATTGCTGAAGATTGCAGACCTGCTGGGCGACCCAATGAGCAAAGCTGCATAAATGTTATTTTGTTATTGATCTTAGGATATCCCTACGGCTGTGTGGAGTGAAAGTAACTTTCACAGCTTCTAAGCAGTTTGGTGACTCGTGAATCATGCTGTTGAAAATCAAATGGCAAAACAATATTTAAAGATTTACAAAGTCACACATTTTATGTTTTGTAATGAAAGCCTGTTAATTTGAGCTGGAAAATAAGCGTTAGCGATGCACCAATATTAAATTCTGGCCAATGCAATAAGCCACTAATTATGTTCATGTTATGGTGATACTAAAATGTTTTCTATACTATTTTGTCTAAATAAACTCTAAAAATGTCAAATTATAGAACACTAGTAAAAACTAAAATCACTGTTATATTCTACAACATTTACAATCACAAGAATAATGTTCAGTATGAAAATTGCATATTGATTTAGAGATTTACTAAAGATTACATTTAAGAGTGTTATTAAATTGTTTTTAAATGTCTAATGTGATTAGTTTTTTAATAAAATTTGCAATATGGACTGCTATTTAATGGTGAATAGCACATTTTAATTTAACAATTTCATATTTTGCTTACTTAAATTGTATAGTAACATATATATATATATATATATATATATATATATATATATAT